GTTTAGGCAAGTCCTCCGCATCCCGGGAAATTGCGGTTGTACCTAGACAGATGGGAACCACCGTCAGCCTTACAAAGGGGTTTTATTCTGTGGGTGAGAAAGCCTGAGCCAGCGCTCCTCGGCTTGCTTCTCCAAGTGAGGGACAAAGAAACCGTAGAAATGGCAGACGGACAAAACCGACGGCTCCTGCCCGGTCCCCCCGTCTCTCTCTGTAGCCGGGGCGGGATGGTGTCTGATGCCACCTCCCTGCCACCCAGCCTAAGTGACCTCGCAGAGACGACCACAGAACTGGAGGTGGCAGCTGTGGCCTCTTTGTCTGCCCACGCCAGCTGCCAGCCCGCTCCGCTGTGCCGTTGCCTGCGCGCTGCCCGGGAACCGGCATCTGTCCCTGGCCCCCACGGATGGGCTGAGTCGCAGCTCTTCCCCGAGCTTCAGCTCCGCCGCAGGAAAAATGGGGATTGTGGTTGTGACTGTCTGGGCCAGTGTCAGAATGCAAAGCAGCAGGTAGGAGGTGGGTGTCAGCACAAACAGCCTGTGCTTGTTTTTACCGGGGACTTGTGCTGGCTGTGGGATTTAATGATGTCCAGCTCCTTCCTGCTGCTCTCCTGAGATGTGGGCAGGAACCTCTGCAAAGCTCTGAGGGCATTTCTCCTTGCACATACGCAAATGTTGTCTTCATTTGGGGTTTTAACAGTGGCACCCCGGTGAAGGACATAAAATCGCTAGAAAAAGACAGGAGAAACCTGCCTGATACAAAAAAAAAAAACCCCAACAACAACCAACCAACCAACAAACCAACCTGAACAGCCCCACTTCTTCCTGCGAAACCACAATACCTGATCCTGAGTGATAAGGAAGACATCTGGGGCTTGAAAGACTGGTGTGGCGCGGGCGGATGGGGCGTGCTGCGCGGGAGACCGCAGCCGAAAGGGCGGCGGGAGATTTCAGTGCTGCCATCCCCTTTTGTCCACGGTCTTGGAGATGCCCCTGTGCTTAGCCGCTAAATCCAGCTGTCTGCTCAGTCTTGCTGCAAACCCTTGCAAGCTGGGGTCGGTAGATGCTTGTTTGGGAGAGAGAGGTGTTCCATTTAATGCGTTTCTTGCCACTGAAAGAGTGGCGGTGGAAGCTCTCCCTTTCCCTCCCATCCCCGGGAGCATCCCAGTGGACGCCGACGGGTCGGCTGAGCTCTTTGCCAAAAGTACTGCAGGATTCCCACCTCCCAGGTTGCTTTTGCTTCTTGGGGCCTTATTTATTACTGGGGAATTTGGCTGCTACGTTCCAGGCAGCAGCATCGCCCAGGCAGCTGGTAGCCGGCACTGCTGTTTATCGCTGTGTCCGTAATTTCATTACTTTATCCTCTCCCCGCTCCCTTATCCGAGCAGCGTTTTGTTATTGCTGCCACAGCTGTCAGGTGATCAGTTGCTCTTTGTTCTAACAGCGGCTTGTAGCACAAACGTAATCTTTTCCTATGCTTAATTGCCTCTCAGTGAGACCATTAATTGGCAGCCAGCAGGTTCCCACCTCCAGGGGAGGACCTGGGTACGTGTTCATGGCAGCTGGAAAAGCTGGAGGGAGATTCTGAGCAGAGATGCGGTTAATTTGTGTCCTAAAAAGAGTTGCCTAAATTCAGTGAGGCACTGGAAGGAACCCCGAGCTTTGCAGGTAAAAGGGTCCCAACAGCATTAGGTTCCTGTTACTGGTTCACAGAATCACAGAATGGTCAGGGTTGGAAGGGACCATCCAGTCCAACCCCCACCAGAGCAGGGTCACCCAGAGCGGGATGGACAGGAACGCATCCAGGCGGGTTTGGAATGTCTCCAGAGGAGACTCCACAGCCCCTCCGGGCAGCCTGTGCCAGGGCTCTGCCACCCTCACAGCAAAGAAGTTTTTCCCCATGTTGAGAGGGAATTTCCCGTGTTCCAGTTTGTGCCCGTTGCCCCTTGTGCTGTCGCTGGGCACCACTGGAAAGAGTCTGGCCCCATCCTCTGGACACCCGCCCTGCAGATCGGGATCAGCATTGATGAGATCCCCTCTCAGCCTTCTCTTCTCCAGCTGAACAGCCCCGGGGCTCTCAGCCTTTCCTCACCAGAGACATGCCCCAGTCCCCTGAGCATCTTTGTAGCCTCCGCTGGACTCTCTCCAGCAGCTCCTTGTCTTTCTTGAACCGGTTCACCAGCTCCCCTCTGGCCTGAGCGCTGTCTATGTCCCCGGCATGGTTAGGAGAGGGGTTAATCTCATGCCGGAGCGGTGAGTCACGGAGGCCCCAGCAAGACAGATCTGGTTAGCTCTGCTGGCTCTTCATTTATCATGGGGCTTACGCAGCTGTCTCCTTGGCACGGCGCGCGGGGAGCGGGCACACGAGGGCCAGACAGGTTGGTCAGCTGGGAGACACTGCCGGCTCCTCCCCTGCTCATTCCTGGAAATGCTGTTTGGACAGAAGCGTACGAGCCACCATGACACCCTGCCTCCCAGCGCCAGCGCGGCCATGCCCTCGCTGGAAGTGTCCCTGGGAAACGCAGCCACCGGTGCTCGGACTGGAGTCCCACCAAGGTGGCTTCACGCCAAACCTTGCGTCTCCCACCACCCTTTCCTCTTCTGCTTGGGAATGAATGTCCCAGAGCCTGTGACGTGTCTAACAGAGCTGCTATTTAAGACTCAGATATGCAATTGGGGTGTAGACCTGGGGGGAAATCGGTGGTGTGCGTGGCCTCGCGGGGATACAGCCCTTCCCTCCTCCCCAAGGAAACCAACCAAACCCCAGAAATAAGGGTGTTTTTTCTCAGAGAAACTGCAGGGAGAGCTTTTCACCCCTGGGATTTATGCAGCGTTCAGACAGGCCAACAGCAGCCCCGGGCTGTGAGCAGCGGAGCGCCGTAGGGGTGTGGGTTTGTGCCACGGCACAGAAGGAAGATTTTCCGTAGAACCAGAACGCAGGGAAAAAGGGAAGTCCTCAGCCCTGGGTGCGATCTCCCTCTCACGTCAGCCCGTGCACTCCTGCGGTGTTGCTGGCTTCCCTTAGGTTTTTGCCCTGACCACGAGCTGCTTCACGACTCAGTGCTTTGCAGCTGCTTTCACGGCTGTGGGACTCTTCCTCAAAAGTGTCCGGGCACTTGAAACACCAGACTGCACCTAGAGAAACCGAGGGATCCGAGCAGATGGGAGAGCTGAGGAATCCAGGTGGAACCAGAGCAAAGAAAACCTTTCCACCAACCCCAGCGGACGGCAAGCTGTGTTTGCTGAGCCTTGATTTGTCCTTGCTCCAGTGAATTTGATTAGGATGGCGGGAGGTCTTCTGTGGAGTTGGGAGACCCTAAATGTAGGATGTGCTTCTGCAACCCCTCTTTCCCAACCCAGAAAACCTCCCTTTAGGTCAGTACCTCCCCCTGCCCAGGGAGGACAGCCTCCCAGCAGTAACCGGACCCCAGCTCCGTGCTGGCATGGAGACCCAACAACAAACACCCCGGCCGGGGCGCCTGCCCAGGGTCCCTTTCGGAGGAAGCCCTTTTGGGAAGATGTTCTGGGAACATCTCTTCCAGACATCAGGACCCCACCTCCCACTGGCTCTGATTTGTTCTTCCTGAATCCTTGGTACAGAATATTCAAAACCAGGAAAACCAGAAAGAAAACGTGGACCAGAGGTTCCCCAGCCTGTTCAAGAAGGGACGAAGGAAAACGGTTGTCAGGAATCTGGGCAGAATGATCTATTACTCCAAGGTCAAGTTTAAGTTCCAGCACTGCCAGGTAAGCTGCGGTGCCTGTTTGTGGGCGTTTCTCTTCCCAGGCACGCAGTGACCCTGCAGGACTGGGAAGGAACGTGTGATGCTGGGAAATGTGACTCACGGAGACATCCTGGGGCTACTGCATGGCCCAGGGACTTCTGCTGCCATGTGGTGCTTGGGTACCGGCTGGTGCCCACCAGCTCCCATCCCAGCGGGGACCTGGGCCATGCTTCCACGCTCAGCTGCCACGCTGGCAGCAGATCCACCAGCAGAGATGCGGTGGTGGCCTTTGGATAAGCGACCGCTGGCTTTTCTGTGCACAGATCAGTCTGAGATGCAGAGGGAAGCTGGGAGGAGGAACGTGCCCTGAGATAAACCCCAAAATGTGTCTTTTCTGCAGGAGGTGAATGACTGCTTCTTGGAGCTGTTCCAGTCCTACCTGTACTTCCAGTCTATGGGCTCCAACGGACTCACCTACCAGGTAGGGCATCTCCCGGCCGTGCTGGGGCAAGCACCAGGGAGTTGGGCAGTATGGCCAAGCTGGGGGAACTGGGCAGATGGGACAGGACAGGGGAGGGAGCTCTGCTCCTGGGGCTGCCACTGGGCCCCTTTAGGTGATCTCAGCAAGTCCTTTCCTGTGGACGCCAAGCTGCTGGGGAAAGAGAAAATGTCTTTCCTACAGACCGTACCCAGACAGCCTCGGTGCCACCTGAGCCCTCGGCCGTGTCTGTGGGCAGAGATAAAGGACCCCGTAGAGGTGGGGTGGGGGTTTGTGCCGGGCTGGCAGGCAGGAGCAGGGATGGGAGGCGTTCGGGCTACCTGGACTTATCTTTGTGTGGAGCACCAAGCACGGAGAGCTGTGCCTTGGCAAGGGTCAGGGCTCCTCTTGCTTCAAATCCCGCTGGCCTCGGTGGACTCGGCCCTGGCTTCTGAACCAAGGGGGGGTTCTTCACCTGCAGGGCAGAGAAAACGGTATGTGGGAGAGGGTGGAAAGAAAAAACCTCAGGGCAGCCTCGGGGAGTTATCCTGGCAAACTGTTCATCACTCTTTTAACCTGATGGTGTTGGTGAATTACAAACAATAGGCTGTTCTGCGCATGCAGCCAAAAAATCACAGCCGAACAAACAGGACACCCTGAGCGTCCTCTCCCTCTACACGAGTGAGTAACTAAAACTGAGCATGGCTGTTTTGTAGATGTCCGTAAAATTTGTTCCTTTTAGAAATGATTTGTTTTCTTCTCGGTGAGTTGAGGTTAACGCAGTATGCCAATACAGTCTGGAGTCACCCGGCAAGCCAGCCTTCAGCTGGAAAGACACATGTCAGAATACCGACAATGTTACAAAATCTCCCGTCTACTTTACAAACAGTGACTTAGGTTATTAATTCTAGAGGAATTAAAAACGAATTAATGTGCCGGTACTGCCCCCTAGACATTCCAGCAATTAGCATCTTTTACAGCCCTCGTTTAGAGAGCCCAAGACGTGGAGCACAAACTCGTCGTCTATTCCTGCGCTTTGTTATAGTGGGGCTCTGGCGAACAGGAGTGTAGAAAACAGACAGCTCAATTTTGCTTTATGGTCATTCCCATCTTCTGACTTTCTTGTGTTAAACCAGAGATGTGGGTGGGTTTGGTTTTTTTTCGAGGTTTCTCTTAAAACTGAAAGACTTGGAATATAGAGAAAGTGTTCTTGCCACCATGGCAGCTGATTCCTGCAGGACTGGCCCCGCGGAGCCCCGGCAGCCGCCGAACCTGATTCCTCTGGGCAGCGCGCTGGGTCGAAATCCCAAATGTTTCCCCTCAGGGCAACGTTTTGCAATCTAACCCTGTGAGCCCCAGCAACCTGCTGGTGCCCAGTCTGGACTTCCAGTCTCCTACGGCGAAGGGGCGTTAATTGTAGAGCCTGCCTGCGGGCTGCCCCCCGAAATAATGGTGTGTTCTTCTTATGCAGGAACTGCTGCCTTTGAAAGAGCTGAACGTGTGTGAAATTGAGAATGGGAAGGGCACCGGGCAGGAGGATCACGCTTTCCGCGTTACAGGTTGGTGCCTCTTTGTTCGCTTTGAACAGAGAGCAGAGGGTGTATGAATCACAACTGTCTCTGCTCTTTGCCCCGCGCTGACCTAGTCCCAGAGAAGAACCGCATTGTGGAAAGAGGTTGGAGAGAGCTGAAGCTTTTCCTCTCGGCATTTGCATCTTTCCCTCCGAGGCTTCCCCGCTCCTAAACACCGGGGCAGCGATGCCCGGGGCTTCAGGCAGGGAAGGGACTGGATAGGGAGCACGGAGGAAGGATGGTCCTGTGCTCCAGCGGGTTAGTGCTGGGGACACACGGTGACACTTCCCACCTCTTTCCAGTCATTTGCTCTTTGTGTACCACATTTGAATGAAGGAATGGAATAAAACGCCTCCTCCCACCTCTCATCCCTGTATAAACCCCCGAGGCCAGGGAGCGACTCCGAGCAGGGCCGCGTCCAGCGCGGTGCGTGCTGAGGGATGGCACCGGGCAAGCACACAGGATGGCCACCAGCGCCGAGAGGCGAGTTGCCGCTACCAGTAACGCCAGGCTGGTGCCATCGGGACCCAGTGTCACTTCGCCGGCTCTTCCCTTGCCAGCACTCCTGCCTCCCCAAGTTTTTTTAACTTTCCCCCGAGTGATCTTGCTTTAGAAAAGTTTTCCTGGGATAACAGCCTGTCTGCAGCTCGGCTGGAGGGATTTTTGGGCTTAGTCACTGCTGAATTACAGCCGTCGCAAGCCCCCAAGAGTAGCAGTTAAAGCATGGAGTACACAGAAGTAGGTAAATAACCCAGTAATGATTCAGAGCCAAGAAAGTTCGTTTGTGCCCTAGGCCCGCTGTCTGTGTTCTCCGGTGTCTTCTGTTGGAGAGAAAGTTATACAATGGCCACTCAAACAAAAAAAAAAAAAATGGTGTAAATTGTGAAAAGGAGCTGGTACAAACAACCCATTCATTTTAAGGACTCTTAAGACTCGGGGCTCTCCAGCCCTTTCTGGGAGTCTGTAAAATGAAGGAAAAGTTCTCCCAGGCGTAACCTGTCAGGGGCGTCTGCAGTGGGGTGGGTGGACTTGTTCTGCTTGTATTAAAACACGCAGGAGTGTGGCTGGGTGGAAAATTGCCTCAGGCTTTGTTGGGGTTGTGTCCCGCTTAGGG